AAATTGAAAAAAAACGACAAAAACGGAGCCCTCCTGCCGGCCCTTGCCAGGATCCATCGTACCTCCATGGCCCTAGAGCCACCGGAGACGAGGCGGACCTGCGCCGACGCCGGCGAGAGGCACAAACCCTAACTTTCTTTCTTGGAGGAGGAGGCGGAGCCCTGGCTCTACGTACGTGCGTTGCAGTTGTTGCCAAGTTCAATACTCAGCAAAAGCTCCAGCCATGTGTTTTTATTAATTATTTTTTGTAAAGTGCACACATGCATGCACGCACGCACACGGATAGGATGGATCTATTTTACAAACACCCCTTAGAACATTTACAACCGGACCCTCATGTCCTTTCTAAACGCTCGGAAGATCTGCTTGGTCACTGTCTGTACGAAAAAAGGCCACCCAATGAGACGCCAGGCAACATGTGAGTTTTTTTCCGTAGATTCGTTTATTCAAAACGGTTTATCTCTTAAACCGTGTGTTTAAATTCTGAACCGTTTTCACCGAATTCCTTGCGTCGAGATGTTCGAAACAAGATCCATGTTAATTGGTTTCTGCAAAAAACAAATTCATGAAAAAATCAGAAGAAAAAACTCTGAGCCGGAAGCCCCCTTTTTTCACCTTTATCAATTTTTAAGAGGCATAATTGTGCCTCTCGCGGAAGCAAACTTGTGTCTCCATAAAAAGCAAACTTGTGCATCTGGCGGAAACCAAAAAAAAAAAAAAATTGTTCGATAGGCACAACTATGCCTCTTGCGGAAGCAAACCTATGCCTCTCATGGAAGCAAAAAACACTTTTTCCTTCTTCGCCGAAGTAAACATGTGGCTCTCGCGGAAGCAAAAAAATGTGTTTTTCCTTTGCCAAGAGGCACAACAGTGATCTGTCCAATTTATGTGTTTGATAGCTATTTTGTGCCTACATGGTAGACTTTGTGGAGTTTTACCGCTTTCACGCACTATATTTTGTCGGTATCCCAAAGGTAACTTTATTAGGAGCAAATAATCTTTTATAAAAGAAATCCCAGGAAATGGTGGTGGAACCATGTTATTTAAGGTGATAGTCAACTAGCGTAAACCAATGAAACAAAGGGACCAAGTGAGGAGCTCCTGCGGTGCCTCTAGAGCCAAAGACGCCCTTTCATACGAGCGCTCTGCTCGTATGAGCAGTCGTATGAGGTGCCAGTGTCACTGCCTTGTCCACTACTTCCATCCCATGAAGTCGGATCGGGGATCAGAGACAGGGAGGGACGCGAAACACATCTAGAGGAGAGAACCCTAGCCTTCAGAGGAGAACCAACTCAAGACTCTGCTATCGCTACTCTGCAGAAAGAGGGCTTCATCATCATCATCATCATCATCTCAGGCCTATCCATTTGTAATGCATTAGTTGGAGTGGATTCGATCATGTATTACTTGTGTGGGATTATCCTGTTCATCGTGATTTATTTCACCTCTTTTATGCCCCAGATGTGTGATAAGTCTACATTTAATTATCTAAAATATGTAGGAACCCTTCTGTGTAATAGATCATTAGTAGTCTTCTTGATGTTGGGTGAAGTTGACCATCCAACATATGCCAAATTTGGACGAAAGGTTATTACTGCTGGCGAATCGGCTGGTCAGAAAGGTAGGTACGTGATAGAGCCTATCTCCCTTCGTCATGGATCGTTACAGCAGGGGGTAAAACAGAGACCACCTATAGGCTGCATCCGCCGGGACCTTTTTCCCCTTAATCACCATTTGGTAACCGAAGTGGGGAAGAACGGTGGTGCCATATGATATGGTGCTACCGCGTGTATGCACATATCTGTACCGGCTCTGCCCACAAATAAAAATATACAAGTAGCATTGGTGTGTGCTAGTGAGGAATCCAGACTCCCTGGGAAGGCCTTAATCCTATTGATTTCGACATTCTACTTTACGTCCCCAGTATTTTACCTTTACCCTTGCTACCCCGTTTTCACCATTTTACTACTACTTTGGATTTCCTATAACTTGCAGGCATGGCTATTTAAACCCTACACGAGATAAAAGACTAACTTTTGTGCTCCCTGTGAAATTGATACACTTACTTTAAAAAGGCTATAACTAAACCCTGTGCACTTACAGGACATCAAGTTGTGCCTCTCGTAGAAGCAAACTCGTGCCTCCATAAGATGCTAACTCGTGCCTCTCTCAGAAGGAAAAAACATGTATTTTTTCTTTTTCGAGAGGCATAGCCCTGCCTCTCATGGAAGCAAACAAGTGCCTCAACGAGAAGCAAACTTGTGCCTTTGGCGGAAGCAAAAAAACAAAATTTTTTCACACATATTTTTTAAATTTTTTGTCCAGAACCTAAAGAAAACCGAGCAAAAACCAAAAAGATGAAACAAAAAAACCATCTAAAACCCGAAAACACGTACAGAAAAACAAAAAGAACAAAATTCAAAAGGAGGCCCAGCACACGACATGTGTCGGCGGCTGAGATCCCACCAAAATAACCCTTGCGAAGCTCCCACAAGCAGTACTCCCTAGAAACGAACCAAATGCTACTGGGAGGAAAATGCATGGGCTTTCAGCTTCATCCGGTAATTCGCCACTGATTTCGCCTCCTGGGCCTTGGTTTCGCCGTAGCAGCATTATCATGGAGGCCCAAAGTTTACCCTGGCTTTGCTCCGTTTCTTCTTCAACTAGGGGCATCCCCAAAATCCTCATCAATTCATGTAAAACAAGCAATTTTCTTTTTTGAACATCAATTATAGTTTGATGACACAAACATAAGAGGATCACAAATCCACAATACTCTCTCTATCAATGTGTGTGTGTGTATGTGTGTGTGTGTGTGTGTGTGTGTGTGTGTGTGTGTGTGTGTGTGTGTGAATTTCTTCACGTATACACGCTACGTAGCTCAAAAGGAGAAAAGAAAAAAAAGCAAGCCTTAACCATATCAAAAGAAGCACTGCGCGCGACGAACGTGTGTGTCAACCCGATCGAGAAGCCACTAGCTAGCTAGGATTGATGATGTTGCCGTCCGTTCCCTTGGTAATGATCGAACCCCTAGCGGCATCTTGGTAACCCGAACCCAGATCAGGGTAATTTTCAATTCATACTTCTCTAGTGTTTTCGTCGGGTCAAAATCAACCATAATAATGAACAGGAACATGTGCCTTGCTCTTCCCTGTTGATTGCAAAAACGTGAACAGGAACATGTGCTCCCCAGCCTCCTTGCACTTTATCCCTTGGAGAGGGCACCAAACTCTCCCTAGCGATTTGATCATACCTTCCACGAACACAGGCCTTTCAGAGAAGACCTTGCCCAATGCCTAACGTTGTTTCGTCACCGCCCTCCTACCTCCTCCTATTTCAATCTTGACTCCCTTCTTCTCAGGTGCTCCTATTGGGCGCTTTAGGCGCTAGGGAAGCTCACTGACGCCCACACACCAACCGTGGTGGGCCGGCCCATGTAGAGGGAGACTTGACGGCATTTTATTTTCTCTGGGTTCGCTCGGTCATATTTGAAAAACTGAAAGAAAAAAGTCATAAAAATGAAAAAATAGAGAATTCAAAAAAGTTGATGGATTTTGAGAAAAAGTTCATGAGTTTGAAAAGAAGTTCATCAATTCGGAAAAAGTTTATCAAATTTAAAAAAAAATCATTGAAAATGAAAAAAACTCATGGATTTTGAAAAAAATGTTCATTGAATTTTATAAAAGTTCATCAAATTAAAAAAAAAATTAGCAAAATTTTAAAAAAATCATCGTTTTGAAGAAAAAGTTCACGTATTTTCAAACAATTCATCGAACCAGGAGAACAAAAAAAGGAAAAGAAAAGAAAAGAAGAATAAAAAAGGAAAAGGTTGCAACTTACTAGATCTTGTTGGGTGGCGGGATGGTTACACCAACGTACCTCGATGAGGCCGGTTGTTGGCTTGATTCACAAGCAAGGCGCATTTTTTGTCAGATTAAGAACACAGAAAAAACCTACATGGGCTGGCCCAGCGCGGGGGCGCTTCAGGTGCGTGTTTGCAAAAATACACAATAATGATCGCCTGAAGTGCCAAATAGGAATTACCCTTCTCTGCCTCACACAACCTCAACTTGTGCATCAGACCTCCCACCCTCTCCATCATACCCAAAACTATGACGACCTTGGTTTTCTAAAGGGGTGTATTATGAACGTGCATCCTAGCACCACACGTAAGGCTTATGGTGGATTGGGAAGGGCTGCGAGATCGCCCGAGTGTTGATCACCAGGGCAGAGGAATGGGATTCCCGCTGCCGAACAAGCAACACTATTGGAGATCGAGATCACCTAAGAGGACTCTAGGGTTTGCCAGCAAGAGCCGTTGAACCCCCTCTGAGATCGCCTGAGTGCCAATCATGAAATTGTCAATAGAGGGACGGACAATAGGCTTTATACACGGGCATGTTTGCTATATACATATAAAAAGAACAAAAGAACGAACCAAAAAAAACATGGGCTTTCAGCTTCATCCGGTAATTCTCCACTGATTTCGTCTCCTGGGCCTTCAGTTCGCCATAGCAGCATTATCGTGGAGGCCAAAGTTTAGGCTGGCTTTGCGCCTTTTCTTATTCAGGCGCATCCCCGAAATCCTCATTGGTTCGAACAGCAAGCAATTGTCTTTTTGAACATCAATTGTAGCTTGATGTATACCCAGAAGCATTATGGTACAACACACGCATATAAGAGGATACAAAAAAAAAATCCACATTACTCTCTCTATATATATGTTAGTTTCTTCACGTATACACGCTACGTAGCTCAAAAGAAAAAGAAACAAGCCTCAACCACATCAAAAGAAGCGCCGCGCGACATAAGTACGTATCAACCCGATCGATAAACCACTAGCTAGCTATATATATAGGATCGATGCTGTTGCTGCCCGTTCCCTTGGCACGTACGTAGTAGTAAGAATTAACGATCAATCAGCAGTACTTTTTTCTTTCAATTAAGTAGAAGATCGATGGATCTCCTTCTTCTCCGGCACCGGCGACGATCAGTACGTACTAGGGGCAGTGCACGTTCCGGCCCGGCCCGCCGTAGTAGAAGTAGTTGCCCCAGGCGCGGTTGTAGCCGCCCTGGATGCCGTAGCAGGCGGGGTGGTCGGCGACGAGCCGGAGGTCCCTAGCGGGGAGGAGGTTGTTGTCCCAGTCGACCACCTGGACGTTGCGGAAGTAGGCGGCGCGGTTGAAGCCCTCGCGCGGGAAGTGGCCGCTCCCCATCTGCGTGGGGGTGTGGGAGCCCGAGGGGCGCGTGTTGACGACCTCGCCGCCGAACTGCACCATATTGGCGTGGCCGCCGAGGTGGGAGAAGAGGGAGGAGGGCCAGTAGCCGACGAGCGGGCCGGAGCCGAGCTGCAGCCACCAGTGGCCCCGGCGCGGGTCCTTCCAGATGAGCAGGCTGATGTCGAACTGGCGGCCGTTGTATGCGGACGCCGGCGAGATGGCGGCCCCGATGGCGATCCGCCGGTTGGTCTGCACGAACCCCGAGCAGTGCAGGTTGTAGCACCCGGTCGCCTGGTACGCGTCGCTCTGCATCCATGCATGCATCGACACTTCATTTAATTTGTTGTGTTGTTGCACTGGTATGAGCTATGAAGAAAGATGCATGGTGGTGCAGTGCTGCAGTGTTTTGGTTGAGAGGAGGAGGAGGGGGTTTTACCGTCCAGTAGGTGAAGAAGCGTGGGCTGTTGTCGCCATACAGTTGAGGGCTCACCTAAAAGAAAGCAAGGAACAGTGCGGAGAGTTAACACGTATGGACTGCATGCAACCAGCTCATCAGCTCACATCGGTTTGACCACGACGTAGAGAGTACCACACTGGTTTCAAACCCAACAACCAGAAAACAAGAAGTAATCAGGTCAACTGTGGCACTGGCTTACATGTCGACCGAATCTCATTAATGATCGACCCCCAGTTGTATTTCCACCTCCTTTCTATACTAGACAGTCAACATGTAACCACATGCAGGTCAAGCATGCTAACAAGATTCGACTTACAGTTTACTGCAAGGAGACAAGGATGCATGTTCACGCTTAAGATGGCGATCAAGGATGCATGTTCAGATATTCTTGATTGAATCTCAACTATAATGGTGTCTTGACTACTCCGCTAATCTGAATATATGTGTACTTAAAATGCTTGATCATGACTTATCCTCCATGCATGTAGCTAGTACCTACTCCCTTCGTACGGAATTACTTATCGCAGAAATAGATATATCTAGACGTATTTTAGTTCTAGATACATCTATTTTCGACACAAGTAATTTCGAACTAAGGGAGTAGTAATGTGACTAGGGATGGAGGGAGGGATGAAGCTGGGCATTCAAGCAAGGGCCTGCGGTGCAGAGCTCTGTGCTGCCATGCCATTGCTAGCGCATACACACCACATCGATCGACCTGCCACATTTACTCGCTTTCACCAACCGGAGAGACGGACAGCCTGAAGAACGTGTTCTGCGACTGCGAGCCAGCTTCCCTCCCTCCCATTATAACTAGATCGCTTTGCAGCCACGGCGATATGAATGAAAGCTGCCACTGTCAACTCACTCGGCTCCTTAACTTCCTACACTATGCAGCTCTAGTCGGCGAAAGACCATGCAGTGATTCTCCATATCTTTCACATTAACACTCTTCCATGGTTTGCTTTTAAATGTGATTTCGTACTGTCTTGAGAAGAAGAAAAATGTTCTTTCATCCTCCCTCCGTAAACTAATATAAGAGCGTTCAGAATACCAAAATAATGATCTAAATGCTCTTATATTAGTTTACAGAGGGAGTACTCGAATAGTAAAAGTAGTTTGCATGCAACGAGATAAGGGGAAGATGAAAGGTACCTGCCAGCCGGCTTCGATGGTGTTGAGGTCGTTGCCGAAGGTGCCGGAGATGACCCAGATCTGGGAGAGGCTGAACTCCGCCGCCGACGCCACCCTGGCCGGCCACACGTTCAGGCTCGCCTTGGCGCCGTAGAACTGGTCGCCGGTCACGTACCCCACCGCGTGCTGCACCACACATACGCCAAACGTCCATCATCAAGCCAAGGTCCATGCCATCCACGTACGGACGCTAATGAATGCCACTGACTGCCAGCCAGCGCGCGCGCTAGCTAGCCGGGCGGCGCCATTACCGCCGCTGCCGCGGTTGTCGCCGCGCCGATCGCCATTGCATCGCCATCCCCGGCCAGTGCCCCAATCAATGTCCTGTGCGCGCACAGACGCAGGTTGATGCTAGCTATGCCCAGCACAATCAATGTTATCCAGCTACTGCGCGCTATACTATTGAGCGATCGTGTGGGATCATGATTTGGTCGCGTGGTTAAGGCCGCAGTTACTGGCTACGAGCCTACGACTGTTGGTCAGTGAAGCCGCTGTCGATCAATTTTCGATGGTACCGCTAATCTGGTGGGTCAGTATTGATGGTGACGATTGATGAGATCGCCGTACGTGCTCGTTAGTTTCAGCTGGGCGTGGTAGGAAGTACCTCGTGGCCGTCGCTGGTGGAGTCGCGGCGGACGCCGGCCGCGCGGGGCTTCATCCCGTACCGCCGGAGGGAGCCGGAGTGCCGCCGCAGGTCGCTCTCCGTGGTCCGCCGTATCGGGACCGTCCCGCCGGGGCACGACTCGCCGCCGTCGCTCCACGCCTGCGGGAACACGGCGTCCCCTTCTTCCTCCGCAGCGTCGGCGCTGGTCTTGGGCCTCTCCTCCGGCTCAGGCTGCAAACAAAAAAGACAATCTCTACTTCAGGACGACGGCCGCTGATCGGTAAAAGACAGACAAATAAGAATGCAGCATTGGTGTAGTTGGCTACAGAGAAGGGAAGGATGGGATGGGCGACCTCTGGCTTTTGGCCCCTCAACGTTGGGTGGTCAAACGCCGGCTGGAGGTGCGCCGGCACGCAGTGGATGATGTCGCCGTCGGCGCTCTGCGTGCAAAAACAAATTCGTCAAACATTTTGCCACAAGAAAAGAAAAGTATGGCGAACAAGGTGGTCGAGAGATTGAGGTCGGGGGTCAAACATCCATGGCCCGCTCATGCAAAAGAAGCAAAGCCACTCACCTGGATGGTCTTGACGGAGGCCTTCTTCATCCGGTCCATCTGGGCCACGATGCTCTGGTACGCTCGCAGCTCGTCCCCAGAACGGAACTCCGCCGTCCGTGTGCCGTTGCCCCTGCCGCCGCCGCTGGCCGACACCGACAACGCGCAAGAGACGACGAGCAGCAGCACCAGCAGCAAGGGGACGGCTGGTCTGGGCCTCTTGCCGCAGCAGCTAGACGCCATCGACGCCCGTGCGTGGGCTTCTTCTTCTCTTGGATTCACCTCAAAACCTCGTAGACAGGGAGTAGAGTCGTTGTTGCTCGCTTGTCTGTATCCGCTTCCACCGGATCGCCTGCTTGTCCTCTTCCCCGCCTCCTCCCCTGCCCCTATCGCTTGGCTTCTTCTTCCCTTGACCGCCCGAGAGAGACTACTCGACTATAAATATAGGAGCGCGGTGGAGGTGGAGTGTGGCTGAGCTGAGGCGCCGAGCCTCGCTCGATGTCAAGCTGGAAGGTCAACCAATGTCGCCGTGCAGCGGTTGGGGGTGGGGATGGGGAGGGTGGGGGAGCTGAGCTTGAAGCTTTGAAGTGATGTGGTGGACGCATTGATGAGTTCCGACACGGCGGGATGAGATATTGAGATGAGCTTCAAGTTGAGTTGCGCGCGGCTGTGGCTTGGGTTGCAGCTGGGGCACGCTTTTTCCCGAGGAGAAAGACACGCCCCTGCCCCGCGCTACCCATGCCTAGCCATGGCATTATCTCATTTTATATCATGCTTGGGTCCATGGTCCTGTCCCCCTCTCCACATTCCCTTCCCTTCCCCCGCTCCTCCCCCCATGAACAAAAAAGAAAGGTCGGAGCTGGCTGGCTGGATGGATTACTGCAAGCAAAGCACCATCGTCGATGCAGATGCAGACAGTGGGGGTTCAGCTCAGTCCCAGTGGCGCGTACTCCTACCACTGCCGCTCAACTTTGCTCCGTCAGGGGAATAAAGAAAGAAACAGAGCGTGTGTGCGCGCGCTCTGGGGCATGGCATGGCATCGCACCGCACGCGTCCTTGGGTGAGTGTGCATTGCACCGAGGAGAGGAGCGAGCGAGCGGCTCACTCTTCCTCCGCTTTTTCCTTTGGAAAGGCGGGCAGGGGAGGGTGGCGGCCATGTGCCAGGGGGGTGGGGGCGGGAATTTTCAAAGGCCGGCTCCGACCGGCGGTGGCCTTCAGCTGGTGCAATCATGAGCCAGCGCCCCGCGCTTCCTATCCCTGTCCGCCATGATAGAAATCGCTTCCTTGTAGCTACCTCCTTGGAGCAACCAGCAGCACCTCTCGATCCGTCGATCGGCACCCATGCATGTATGACAGTGCAGCCATGGCTTTTGTTCTCTTCCTCTTTCCACAGTTGCATTTGATGCGCCTTCCCTCCCTGGCCAGTGCAAGCCGGAGGGCTGTTGGTTGACAACACTGTACGTTCCCAGCACCGCCATGATCACTGCTACTATATCTCCCCAAGTCCCAACAGCAAAGAGAGTACCATGCACATTGAATTGAATTGCACTGCCAGAGGAGGGAGAGACATGTACTACTCTCCCATGAATGGGGTAGGCCCCCATGCATGGCGAGAGGAGCAGCCCTTAAATGGTCAGGTATGCCTTAATTTCTTGAGTACTACTCTCCTCTCCGGCTCTCCCCCACTTTGCTTTGCTTTGCTAGCTGCACTGCACCAGGCATCTTTAACATTTGGCTTCTCTCTCCCGCACCTACCGGTGCCAGACGCGCCCCCGCACGCACATACACACAGTGCTCAGGGTTCATAAAAAGGGGGAGGTCACTCGGGCCAGGTCCACATGAGCCATGAGCCCACTGCCTGCTTCTGCTTTTGCAAAGAGCGTGGCTGTGTGGGGGAAACAGTAAGATACTCTCTCACTCTCACTATCAGTGGGAGCTGAGAAATTTGCTGTTTGCTCTTGCAAGGAGTGTGGGGAATGTGTGTATGCTATGCATCAAATGCTTGAAGCATGCGGCAGTGGATTTGATTATGCGGGAAGATGAAATCAGGGGAAGCGATGCGGCTTGGGTTTTGGTGCCACTGCATGCAATCCTTTTTTGTTCCTTAGAATAGCTGGCCACGCTTCTTTTCATGATCGCAAGGCCTGACCGGCTGGCTGGCAAGGCAAATATACTCTCTTTCTTTCATGCCATGCTTGTTCCCTTGACTGACATTTTGATGCACAACACCAGCTAACCTGCATGCCGTGCCTACTGTCTACTGAACACAGCATGCTTATTATCATTCTGTTTAGAGTACCTTTATTCTGCATCCCCTTTTGGTTACCTTCTGGATTATGTACATGCTGGCAGCGGATTGAAACAATGCGTGAAAACTTAGGTTTGGAAGGTGATGGTGCAAAGGTACTTTTTCCAGAGTAATAATAATGAGAGAGCATACCCCCGATCTGGGTGGCAGAGAGCAACTATGGGAATGGCTACGCGTCAATCTACTGATTTTCAAATTTGGGTCAGTCGATCGTTTTTTGCCGTTGGATGCAGATCGAACGGTGGGCAGGCCTTCATCTTCCTCCGGTTTCTTCTCTCCCCCAGGCCGCCGCACGGGCCGTCAGTCGAACCACTTGTGACCACCACCCGCGGCCGGCGGCGCTCGCGCGCAGCCTCGCCGCCCCGCCCTGTCCGGAACCGCTTCCTACCGCCGTCCCTGGCCATCCCTCTAGCCCCGCCCGCATCCGATTTTTTTCTCCGGCAAAGTTGCACCACCGCCCCCACCCTAAATCCTAAGATAGATAATGGGATAGCCCTTCAATGAGCACCTTCCTTCTCCTTCCTTCCCTCCGGCGAACTCTCAAAAACGACTAACCCCAAATTTGAAGGTCACTCGACTGAGATTTAGCTAATGTGAGCTCCTATATATTGTGAACAGGAGAAAGCAACGCGAGCGTTGATCCTAGAGGGCTGCTAGCTCCCACCAAACCTTTCTCCTCTCGCTCACCTCGCGGCCGCCTGTTGAATTATGTGTCAGTTTTTTTAGAGAGAACGCGATCGGCTTTATTCATCAAAAAATAACATTACATAGAGTTCCCCAGATACAGTCTGGAAGAGAATGGAAAAATACTCGGATTAACAGAGTGCATACATGGTTTAGTTGATAGATGAGCAGCTAAATACAATACTAGCAAACATGCTTTGTGACGACACGACTTTCTTTCTCCTCTCTCCGGCAACCGCTGGCGATGGAGCACATTGTTGAAGCCATGAGGAAGATGGACCACATTGCAAAGTTCAATTCGGGCTTATGATCTTTTCTGTAAAGTTCTTGCTCTGGGTTGTTATTATCTTTTCTTTAGAGATCCTTGGAGCAGCTGTACTGAAATTCAAAATGAATGAAGTTTTTTCTGGTTCATTCGGGACCCATCTATTGTTCAAAAAGATCTTCTTAATCCTGGATGGCCATAAAGTTTGATATTTCGAATTCAAAGGCTCATAGTACTAGGTTAAAAAAAGACCCCATGCATGCAGTTTGATAGGGCATGTTTGGTAGCCCGCATGCTCGTCAGGCAGGCTTTGTGGATGCAGTTTTGGCCCGTTTGGTAGCGTGCAAACACTATTGGGCCGGCATGGCACATTGTTTAAAGCACCTCTCAGCCTGGCTATAGAGGGATGGCCGACCCAACCATTTCTAGCGGGCCAGGTCCAAACGGGCGCAAAAGTCTCCATTGAACCGACCTAGTGGCTCTGATGGTGCAGTTTGTACATAGGTTTGCACGTGTTTGTGTTTTGCGGTAAGAGAGGCATTGGCAATTGCCGAAGATCTTTATGTCCAGAAGATTCAAGTGGCATCAGATTGCAAGAATGTGGTGGATGATATAAATCAGGGATCGTCAGCGGATCACGCGGCTATTATACATGAAATAATAGAGCGATCAATTGTTTTTCATGCTTGTAATTTTATCCACAATTTTAGGAGCTTGAATTTCGAGGCTTACAATCTCACTAGGCATGCACTTTCACTTTGGTTTGGACGCCGTGTTTGGTTAGGCCAACCTGGGGACTTGAGTTTTACTCTTGTAAATGTTCTGACAATTTGAATAAAGCCTAGCGAGAATGTCTCAAAAAAACGTGTTTGTGTTTTGCTCAACTCCTTTATCTCCTTCACATAATGTCTTCTAATCTACATAACAGTGCTTCAATTCAAGATAAGCTCTACACGGAAAAGAGGTACATCGATGTTGCGGTTTCATTCAAGTGATCATTTCCTAATTCCGTGGACCGTAAATCTTCAATTTCCTATATGTTTAGAGCTTTTTTATACGCATTTTAACAAATTCGCCTCACACGGTCTGTTGTTTGAAATTTTCTTTGATGAGTAGCTTCATCTCGTTGTTTGGAACAACTTCCGCATTGTAAGTTTTCTGTTTCAATGGCCATAGATGAGTAGATCTATGTCTCCTTAGTGCACTATACAAAGGTGTTCATGTTTGTGTTGGGAATCATTGCATGGAAAATAAAAAAAATTCTACGCACACGCAATGATCTATCCATGAATATGCATAGCAACGAGGGGGAGAGTATGTCTACGTACCCTCGTAGACCGTAAGTGGAAGCGTTTATTCAACGCGGTTGATGTAGTCGTACACCTTCACTATCCGCCTGATCAAGTACCGAACGCACGACGCCTCCGCGTTCTGCACACGTTTAGCTCGATGTCATCCTCGCCATCTTGATCTAGCAAGCGGGGCGAGATAGTAGATGAGTTCCGTCAGCATAACGGCGTGGTGACGGTGGTGGTGAAACAATCTCGCAGGGCTTCACCTAAGCACTACGTCGACGATCTAGAGCGGAGAAGTAAACTAGAGGCGGAGGGGTGCCGACACACGGCGTGAAATAAGCTGTGTATTGTGTGG